ATAATGTTGCGGAATTTGTCGTTGATGCTTATATGTTGACTCATTTAGCGTCATGAATCAATCTATTCTTATTTTGTGTAATTCCAAATAAGAAGTCCTGAATCAATCATCCATTAATGGTGCAACTGTAAGAAACTTGAGATGACTTGAAACGTAAGAAACAGGAACAAGGTTTTGAAAGATGACTCACTGGCTGTCTGTAATTGCAGGCACCGCGGAGCAGAGGGGGCTGGGGGATGGGGGCGCTTTTGCAAAAAATGCCAAATATTAAGTATCAAACTATCATATAAGCCTCTTTTTATACGGTTTTACACATGCTAACAGTTTGTTCTGCAATCATTGGAGGTATCATACAGTAAAAGGGGATTTCAAATTTGGTCGGGCAAATGATTACAAGGGGTACAAACAGATGCATTATACCATGAAGCACCCGAAGCTCTAACTAATTAATCATAATTAATTTAGCAAACTTATGGAAATAATTCCTTCCATTTCGATGAGTTTTTAAGGGATTCTACCAGATGTACCCAAGTAAAGGAGCAACCAAAGCCAGAAGGGGGGCTGTTGGCACCGAACAAGCCAACCCTTACCTACAACCTTTGCATAGCCTCTGATTCAATAGTATTAAAATAGATGTAATAGAATTTTTTAGCTTTTTATCATTTAGGCATGGTAAGCCCATCAGTCAGGATCAATGTTTAGCAGAGGACTATTGTAAATTTTGCATTATCATTTAATATATGAGAAATATATTGAAAGAAACACCCACAGTTTACAAACGTTTTTGATGATTCAACATCCCTGATACAAAAAAGCTAAAAATTCTAAAGAAAATCTAAAGATAAAAACTACTGGATTTATTACTGTGGGATTTCATTCACCCTTCTTTAAAGTCCCCCTATCCCCGATTGAATGTGATACAATATGATTAATCGTTCAGAACTAAAGCACAAAAGATAACTCATACCCTTATATAAAATCTTTGTACTCTTTTAATGTCTCTTCAAAGTGGAACAATACCTAATTTACCCCCACCATCTTCTGCGGCGGCGCCTTCTTGACGGCCTTTGATAAATGATGCGTCTTCGCCCTTGCAACTTCTTTAGCTTGGGATTAAAAAGACGTGCTTGTATATTTTTCATTTCTATAAATCTTGGTGTTCGATTGCCCTTCTTTTCATGTTTCTTTTCTGCTGCATCTTGTTCTGCTTCAGTTATGTATTTCTCATCTTTTCCTTTTTCTTCTTGTTCCTCTTCCTGGCTCTTTGTTCCCTCTAGATTCCTGTTAACTTTTGGGGGCACATCCACATACATTACAGGGCGTGGGTATCCATCGTCAAGAGATAATTCTTCTAAGTCCTCGCTTGAGTTCGCATTTGCAAACAGAAAAGCGACAACTGAAAGCATCCAGATTTTAGGCAAAAGTCCCAACATCATGGCAACAGTTTTTTTCCACAACAATCTATATTCTGTTGTGTGCGAGTTTTCAAAGTCAGCAGTTCTTTTTAAGTAAACGACAAGGCTTTCCCAGCTGGAGACGACTTCTGCCAAACTAACCAATTAGCTAAGCCTCTTGCATTACTGACTGGCGGTATTGGGTGGTGTTTCTACCAGAAGCCACATTTTCGATTCAGAAATAGAGTGGCAATATTGATGACGTTATAAAGATCAGTTTTTGGATTATATTCGATGGCTGGGATATGTCGAAGGAAAAATCTGAAGTATATACACAGTTGTTTGTCATTGTGAAGTAAATAACAGAAATTGATAGCTGACGTGTTTGATTTTACTAGGGGCTAACTTTCGGATAGATCCAATTACATCATTTCATGTGTTGTATTTCCTTTGAGAGAAACTTGTAGTTAGAATGACTGATGTGGCTTTGAAAATAAGACTTATAGAAACACAGAACCCAAAAGTCTTTGTTATTTTTCGAGAGATATTTTACCACATTAGCCAGAGAGCACTTTCCATGACTCTGGGTTTTTTGGGGACACTCTAATTTGCAAGAAAGATTGGCTTTTATCCAGAGTGTAAAGCTTCTTTTTTATACAAGTCGAAACAATTCTTCAATCTCATTTCTTTAGAAAAAATGAAAATTTGTGATTTAAGCCCAGTCTTCATTGGTATTATAACGAAATGCACTTATTTTATAAGAAAAATTTTATAAGATCACGAGCCTCAAAATTTTTCAAAAGTAAAGAACAAACTAAAAACAATCTGAGCCTGAGCCACTGTAAAATGCAGTTTTAAACAATATTGTGAAGCTGTTTTAAAATATGTCATCTCAAATGCAAAAGGTTGTTTGCCATCCAGTGATACTTTTTGATGAATTTTCAAACTTGTCGGCAAATAAAGGATGCCCCTCTCACTTCGTTAGCAAAGGAGGCCAGAACAGCCTCCCTAGAGCGACTAGCTAGCAATTGCACTGCTTACACCCTATTAACCTAAGAGCAGGTTAACCTAACTGCTTACATCTTCAAATCAACTTACTGGTTGAGATAAAAAAGAGGGTATGATTTAACAAAAGTCGTGATGAAAAAGAAATGGCGCGGAAACAGAACTGATCTGTGCATTATACATTGCTATCCCCATCTTACTAGTGTTGCAAAGAAGGCGAGTCGAACAGTAAAACTGGAGAAAATGAAAGGAGAGGCATAAACTATCCTCATCTTTCCCAATTTTTCTAATACATTTACTATCTCTGCAGTTAGCCTCGACTCGGTCTTGAACCCAAGCCCCCAGCAATACCTTAATGACTTGAGCTTTTATTCTCAATCCATTAAAAAAGTTGCAGAAAATTTGAGTCTCAGTATTCTAAAAGAGCCAAAAGGCGCAATTTGAAGATATGTATTCCTCCCTAAAATGATAAACATGTAAATATAAGGATCGTTAAAATATCCGTCTTTTAACGAAGTTCCTTCTTGTCCAATTTCCAGTAACCAAAGGAATTATTAAAGGAAGTCTTTTGAAACAAAGTCACGTGGTAACTATCCAAAAATACACTGCAGTCGAGCTTAATGAAAGTATTCCGAGCCCAAACAAGTCAGCAGGAAAAAGGAAGTATTTGTTAAAGTAAACATTACTTTAAGTGGAGACCAGGGTACTGTTTAGCCTTGAATTAGAGGTACGCAGTTGAAACAGGATTAAAACGTCGATATCATTATAATATCAATAAATATAAAATATATCATTATAACTTTTTTTGTTTATAAATCTATAATAAGGTTTTACACTATTAACAACTGTTGGGAAATTCTACAGTAAAGAGTTGCACATCATCTTATCAAATGAAAATTTTTCAAGTCTTTTTGGACACAATTCATACTTCATGTTCACATTTCTAAGGAGTTATTTTTTCTTTTAGTTTTGTCTACATAACTAACAAAGTTTTCTGGGATACTGGATCGAAGTTTGGACTGCGGGGCTGATAAATACAGTTAAACGACATTTCATTTCAATTTGACATTTCAATTTCCAATTTAGGGGGGTAGAACCGCAGCTGGAATCCTAAATATTTTCCGAACTTTCCAATAAAAGAAGCGGTTCTTGAAGCTAAAAAAAATTAAAGGGCAAACCCTTTATGTATTACAGTAAGTAAGGAAACTTTTACTTACAAAATTGGCATTTTTGGCTAGCATTCAGACCTAAGTAGAAATCGTATAGAGTCTATAATATTTTCCAGATTTTGCGACCAAGCAGTCTTTATGAATTTTAACTTATTTTTGTGTTGCACTTACAGATATTGTTTACAACTTTGAAAATTTAAACTTGATAAACTTCTAACACACTATCCAAAAATCAAACACAAGCAATCGCCCTTCTTTTTTGCCATGATTGACGATAATGTTGCGGAATTTGTCGTTGATGCTTATATGTTGACTCATTTAGCGTCATGAATCAATCTATTCTTATTTTGTGTAAT